CTGGACGACTCATCAGCCGGTACCTTCATAACGCAAGTAGAGTGTAAGAGCGAGGCAGCGGCCTACACTAGCGCGAAGTATGATATAGAATGGATACTGGACAGCGGGTGTTCAGACCACATTATTAATAATGACGCGTATTTTGAAAAATCTGTTGTTTTAAGAAATCCAATCAACGTCAAGGTAGGTGACGGTAGAACACTTAAAGGCACTAAAGTCGGTAATGTTGTTACTTATTTTGAAGTAGATGGTAATCGAATGCGAATTGATTTATTGAATGTTTATTATGTTAAAGAGATGGATAAAAATTTGATTAGCTTCGCAAAAGTGACAGATCGCAATAAAGTTGTTTCTATTGGTAATAATTCAAAAATTTATAACGATAAAGGTGTGTTGATCGGAGTAGCTACTAAGAATAATGAATTGTATAAAATGAATAGTTTTAACAACCGAACCGATTCGTACCTAGGTAATATTGAGAAGATGACACAGAAAGAAAGATACCATAGATTATTGGGTCACGTAAATTTTCAATACTTGAATAGAATGTGCAAAGATAAGCTTGTTGACAGGATGCCCGATGTATTAGAACCGATCTATTTGAAATGCGGAACGTGTTTGCAATATAAGATGCATAACCTAAAATTCGAAAATAATAGATACAAAGCGCGAGAAATATTAGAAATAGTTCACACGGATGTGAATGGACCGCATGCCACGACGGGCTATGACGGTTCCAAGTATTTTTTATCTTTTATCGATGATTATAGTAAGTGTGCAGTAGTTTATACGATTAAACAAAAAGCCGAAGTTTCAAAGTGTTTTGAAAATTATTTGAATGTAGTTGAAAATTTGATTGGCAAAAGAGTAAAAAAATTAAGGTGTGACAACGGGCGCGAATTTATAAATAATGAAATGTCACAAATAGCAGAGGATAGAGGTATTATACTCGAACCTTGTCCTCCATACACACACGAGCTGAACGGAACAACTGAGCGGTATAACCGATCAATTATGAATTCCGCGAGATGTTTATTATCGGATTCAAATTTGCCACGAAAATATTGGCCTGAAGTCATTAAAACGGCCGCATATCTTAAGAATCGAACAATTACGAACACTATTGAGAATAAAACACCATTTGAAATTTTATTTAAGGAAAAACCGAATATTAAAAATTTGAAATTGTACGGTAGCAAAGTATTTGTTAGAGTGCCTGAAGCTAAGAGAGAATCTAAATG